GAAAACTGGTGAATCAATCACTTTTTAATGTAAATCAACACTCAGCGCTCGTCAATAAAACTTGACAATTGCTATTAATGCTTATTTTTGCTTGAGTTGCAATAAACATATACAGTTTAAGAGTGTTGTAAGTCAAACTCGAAGCAACTTATTTAGAGCTTTAATCCACAAGAACGCAATATTCTGTAACAAGATAACACTTCTATAGAAAATACAAAGAACGAAATAACTGGATATATTCATACATGAAATGTCACAGGTAAAGCGGTAAATTGCTGGATACTTACACAGAATGAGAATAGCACTTAACATTGCAAGAGTCGAGCCAGTTCTGCTGATAGTCAATACTTTTCGATCTAAGTAACATACTGGCATCCACTAAGGTACGGAATAATATGTACATATGAAGACTACATTAGAAACTCCATGACAAAGAGTTTTAACGCATGTGTCTAAAAACATATTCCGCCCAGAGAGTGCAGACGATTTAATAAGGTAGATCATTAACTTTTTAATGTAAGTAACTACTCTGCGCCAGTTAGCACTCTCTAATAGTGCTGAAAGCAGTATTGACCGTGTACAGTTTAACAGATCCAACGTTTATATCCCGGAAAATATTCAACCCAGAGAGTGCGGAGTGATTAAATGAGATGAATCAATCACTTATTCAATATAAATTACCACCCCGCACTCGGCAAAAGCATTAAGCGCTCGTCAATAGTGCTTAAAACAAAACGACCGCTTGCAGTCTAAGAAGTTCGACGCGTTTGCGGTCATTTAAGCTGTAAGCTCTATTAGCGAGTGCTAAGTGTTTTTTTCTAAGTGCGAAGTGGTGATTTACATTTAATAACTGCTTGATTCTCCTTATTTTGCCCCTGCGCACTCTTTGGGTTTAATATTTCTGAGATTATGAGCGTCGGACCTGTTAAACCGTACCCGGTCATTGCTGCTACAAGCATTATTAGCACTCCGTATTAACATTAGCGAGTGCTAATTAGCAAACATTAGCAAACCAGGCATCTTCTTCGACTAGTGCAGCCATCAGCAGAGTGTCCAAATCGTTGGCAATTGTAGCACTGTAGCGGTGGAAAAGAGTAAGCTCGTATGGAGTAGGAGATGTAACCGATTTTGATCTTTGACGGAAGCTCCTTGCCTTCAAAAGTGATTCTAATCGAAGTAGAAGGAACACGCTTGCCTTCTAAGTTCCTGTTCAGTCTTTCCATCTTCACAAACTTACTAGGGCCATCTACCTGAACTCTCCTCTCCATAGCATTTACATCAGCTTCGATATCAACAGGAGTAATGACTCCATAACAGTACTTCCCTTTGCTGACTCAGCTCTGATGCGTTTGGTGAAGCACCAGGATCAATAAGATCTTGACCCTCAGATGTATTAGTCATTGAGGGATCGTTTAGCACTTTCACAAATCACAATGATAAGAAAAACAGAGAGGTTCACAGGAACGTCCTCTTTCGACAACGGTTCAAGCTTCTCTCCGTGATTAATTGTTTAACATGTTTAAACAGAGAACGGGTATATCTGCCTCAAACGCTATGGTTCAAGATTTTTTTCGTTTCTTTTTACACCAGTGTTATATATATTATTGGGATATGCTATTGCAGTGTCTGCTTCTAAAATTACGGAATCGCCCGATTCTCCGCCGCATTCGATCGATCCATTATTCGCCACATGTTCCGCATTTCAGCGTCTTCAGCTTTTAAGTGTGACCCACGTCCTACCACTTCCTTGTCCGACCAAACAATCTAACCTCGCTTCTTCGCGCCAGGCTCACGACTAATCAGCCAGTGAGAAGAGCCTTCTGGCCAATGACTGTAGGAAGATGGTCAGTATGTGGCTTGCTGTTGCTGGGTCACAGTGTCACACTTGAAAACTGGGAACGCTGGAGTGCATAACACGTAGCGAACAATGGATCAGTCGAATGCGGCGGAGAAACGGTTGATTAGCCGGCCAATGCAATTGAGAAAAACTAAATCACGGAATTTCTCCGGAAAAAATGACCACCTGGCAACCCTGTTTAAAAACAGTACCAAAAATGAAATAATAGTACAAGATGAAGCAATCGGAGTCAAAGTGTTAAGAAATGGTTAATCTGGCTGTTTTCTTTGCTTTTAAATTCCTGATAAACTTGCGATTTAAGCAATCTAGTCATTTTTATACTCATATCGTATGTAACAATTAGTGAGAACTCTTTAGAGTAAATCATGGGTTTATGTTATTTTGAAATTTTTCCTTCAATAGAATTTATATTTAGGTACACAATAGCAATAGGAAAGTAGGATTTTTGCTCTGATTAAGATTTTTTTTCCATTTTTTGACTCCATTGGCTAAAACATAGAGATTGACACACATAACATATGTGATATGTCAGCTGTGCAGCCCACTCCAGACTGTGATTGGTTGTAGGATTGCAAGGTCGTCCTCACAATCCCACATTGGTTAGTGCCAGGGCTGGAAAAGTCTAATTTTTTTCTGAAATATCGTAGCCTTAGCATCATATAATTTCAATAGGTATGAAATCTTGCAGCTTGAATGTCATAAATTTTGTTCATTTTTGAGTCCTATATGTAGACCAAGAAAGAATCATGGATACCAGCATAATCATATATAAGAAATTTGTATAAATCTTGAGTAAATAAAAAAATTAAAAATGAACTGATTCTAAAAAAATCTGGATTGTGATTCACAATCCCACCAACCAATCACAGTCTGGAGTGGATGGCATTGCAACCAATCACAGTTAGGAGGGAAACATGCACCTGCTCAAAACTGACAGAAGCTCTAAGCATTATCCTAGAATTTCAGCCTGGATCATAGCTAGTAGGTAGACGCTAGGCAGCCAGCATACTGCATACATAGGCTTACAGTGGTACACTTGAGAATTTAGAGGATACAGTCATTGCACAGCTGAAGGCTCAATAGTCAAAGCTGTGCCCTGTTAGCAACAAGATTAGAAATTTCTTACCCATCACTAGAATCTTGCTGCGCTGAAGTGACTTGTTTTAAATTATTTTGAAATTTTGCACATTGATTACACCACTTGTGTAAAAATAACAAAATTATTTAGGTAATTCATCTTGTAGGAATTTTCTGACTCCAAAAATAGCAGGAAAGCTCTAGTCATCATAGTCATGGATTATGAAGTAGACACATCTCATGCTAGGTTGGCAGTGACAGGCATTAAAGATATGTAAAAAAAGTATAATCATTAAAACTTTTGTGTGCTTTGCAGCCCAGTGAGTTGATGTGCTGGCATCATTATGCAGCTACTGCTGTCAAGCAGTGTGGAATTCTAGAGGGGCATTAAACTAACCAGTACACATAGCATTTGAAAAAGCCATCACATAACCAATCACAGTCAGGAGTGGATGACATCACAATCCTGCAACCAATCACAGTCTGGTGAGGATGACATTGCAATCAATCACAGTCTGTTGATGGATATGCATCCACCCAAATATGCCAGAATCTTTATGCACCATCCTAGAATCCACACTGTTGTCTGTAGTAGAAGGCAAAGAACCTGTCCCTAATACACAAAGTGCATAGTCACCTGATGCAGTTATGCATTTGCATGTGATTGCGCATAAATTTTCAACCATTTTTAATATGTAGCAAGATCTAAAATTTCTGTTGTAATACTGAAGACTTGTGGCTTCTAAGTGTTATCTTTTTGAAAATTTCATTGCCTCATTGCTCAATCCTGCACTTTTGTTAAGAATTAAATAGGAGAAATCTCACAACACCAAAAATAGTAGAAAAATCACAACTCCAAGTACTAAGTAGTCAGGTACTGTCAGTATACATGTTCATGTGATTGCGCATCAGTGTCTAAACCATTTCTTGTGTACAGCAAAACTAGAAAATTTATACATAAAAATGAAATAAAAAGCTCAAATGGCTAAATCCTGCACTTTTGTGAACTATTAAGTTCACACAAGGAGGAAAGTTCATCTACTCAATATAGGAGATATGTAGTTCATCTAGCTAGAACACCATTTCTCTAAAACAGGCCAAAAAGTCTAGTAATGGCTTGGAAAGTAGGGCAGTAGGAAGGTGAGGTAAGAAGTAGGTGCTGTGAGCAGGTTCTGGGGTAGATGTGGAGATGGGAACATGTTGATGTGGGGGCTGTTGCAGTGGCTGATGGCTTATGGCGCCTATGGCTTTAAGCAGGCTGAAATTCTAGAGGAGTATTAAATAAACCAGTACACATGGCAAATTCGACACAACCAATCACAGTCTGGAGCGGATGACATCACAGCTAATCACCATCTGGAGATGGACATGCATTTGCCTAAAAAAGACAAGCTTCAGCCTGGCTCGAAGTACTTAAGTTTGTAAGCTAATCTACTAAGCAGCATGCTTGTGCACATAAAGAATAGGGAAGGGATGATGGTGTTGGGCAATGCTTGCCTCTAACATTGAACCCTGGGAATTATGGATTTTTATTTGTTTTTTTTCTTAATTTTATTTGCTTTTATGTGACTATCCCCTGGCCACAATAAATAATGCAGAGCACCACTGCTGGAAAAAGAGCTGGGGCTTGTAGAACAATAGACCATTCGATGTTGCAGGTAATGAGTCCTGACTTGATGTTGGTATAGAGATTTAGTTCAGCTGAGTGCAGCATTTTAGCTCTGAGGCATAGTATAGTTCTGCATGATGAGGGTGGGCATATTGGTGCTAAGATCTTGACAGTAAGATTTCTTTATATAACCATATTAACTACATTTTTCAGGGAGTGAGTAAAGCCAATGAAGTGTTATATGCTCCTTGAAGTTGTTTACTATTTTCTTAGATCCCAAATTTTCAGCATTATCTATATTGAAAGTACAAAATACTTTAGTAATCTATGATAGAGCTGCCACCTGCGCTCAATGCTGCACTCAACGTTTGCTACACATGACTCTTGAACTGTTATTCATAACAGTGTACTACAAACAAACTTGTTATTTCTCTAACACTCACAAATGTCTTTACAGAATAGCACTGAAAATTGAGTTACTTTCAATTGCTACTGGGACTTTGTTACTATTTAACAATTTTGGATTGCAAATAAGCTTCAGTTTAACTTGGAACCTGCAAATTTTAATGAGTACCATGATGAATAAAATGAAGGTGAGCAGTTTCGTGATGCACAATGTCTCCCATGATGCAGTCAATAGCAGCTGGCACGCTGAGCTGAGCACCCAAATGTCTTCTGAATCTTGCAAAGTTGAGGCTGATGGTGAGCTGTAGTTTTAAGGGATTCATAAATTGCTTACAATTGTGTAAAATTGGAAATACTATTCTTGTGTTGATTAAATTAAAATTTAGAGATTAAGTTAACTTGGAGATATTGCTCCAAATTTTGTGGAAGCAGTGACACATTGTTTGTCATCTGTGTTAATGTCTCATGTTCAGGTTTATTCATGATGTTCTATGTCAATTTATTCAGCTACAGAGGCCAGTGGCTCATCTCCCCCCCTAGAAATGGTAGCAGTTTACATCAAGGAGGAGCCTCAAGATGGAGGAGAGGACATGGCTGTGAAGGTGGAACCAATTGACAGTAGTGAAAAAGAGGTAAATTCATCATATGCATTAGTGAATTGTAAAGCAAAAAATTCACATATTAATATTTGTACCTTGTGAGTTGGTTTTTAATAGGGCAAAGAAGCTCCTATAGCTTTAAAATTTTATTCCTCAAATTTTTGTGAGATTATCCTGCAAATAATGTTTGAAGCTGAGAATTTTTATTTAGAATTGCAGTTGTTAGTTTTCTACACGGACAGGCAGCAGAGTTCTATGACCCTGGTTTGAATAAGTGGAGGCCTCGAATGCGTAAGTGCATAGAACGCAACTGCAATTATGTACAAAAATTAAACAAGGCTTAGCTTTCCAAAAAATGTACTTTTCTTTGCAATTAAACCAGTTTTTTGATGTGACATAATTTGTGTAACTTATTATGCAGACATGCCTAATATTTTGTACTGTGAAAAATTTCCCAATTAATTCTGAAGGGAACATATCCAACTTTAAATTAATCTTATTTCATGAAATTGCTGATATTAATTGATGAGATATTGCCTCTTATGTGTTTTTGCAACAGCTGGAGGAGCTAATATTTTGTTCTTTTTTTTAATGCATATCTCAATTCTTCATCATGGTAGTGGGTGAGGCTATATAATGTATGATGAGCAGATAAATGTTAGTTAACAAGGTATGCTGTTCTTCAAATATTGTACAACATTTTTTTTTTCTTACAAACTGAGAAAATAACCACCAACATTTCTAATATTGAGCATCCTGTTAGACTTGACTGGTAGAGTTGGTGAATATGGCATCTTGCTTGCAATCGCATTTATTTGGGCAGATCAGATTCAGTTGTTAGTCACATAAGTTGCGGTTTTGCCTATCTTGTTATCTCTAGAATCGACTAAGATACAAACTCATTATCTATTACATATGATGAGGACAGGCGATGAAATTTGCTTAGAGATGGTGGTGATTATTGATGTGACATTCCATGCACTTTCCTGAGCATGATAGTACTATATGATAACATGTTTAGGAAGATTACACGACTTTAGAATTATCGGCTTATAACATTTGACTCTTTCAAAGTGTAATCTGCTCTCATGGAGCGTGAGAATCAGTACAAAGCTTGACTTAATATAATCGAATGAAAACCTGAGTGCAAGTGATCAGTGACGCTCTCTTGAGAATCCCTTTTACATTGAATTCCAAAGGATGAATGCATTATCCCTTATCTATTATTTATAAGTCACGTATCTGCGCGGTATTTCAGGTTTCATATTAGTGTAGACGCACTCTCTTGAAGGTAGATCATTTTTATATAAAACAGCTGCAGTCTTGTGAATCTTCAACAGTGGAAAATGGAGCTCATTCCTTATTTCTTCAAGATTGTTAGTCTGGAGCCTCCCATGGGGCATTAAGAGGCAACTTCCATACATGGTATAATGGATACATTTTTTTTTCAGCCTCTACACAACTGTGTATATGGTCAGTTACTCATTGTTTGCTATTGGCATATCAGTACGTTGACTTTCAAGTATGCAATGTTTCCTCCCGTAATGTTTGCTGAGTCTGTGGATGGTCTCATGCTGATGATTCCTTTCAATTTTGCAATCTTTCAATACCCAATATAACTTCAAGCCATTGTGCGTCAGGACTGGACGTGTGTTCACTTATTCCCTCTTTTATCCTTCCCATCAAACGCAAATTTGCACGTCTTCCTGCCCTTCGTGCGTCTTATTTCACTCAAAACAAATATATATAAACACATGGCAGTTGTTGCATTGATTAAAATTTTCTGTTATAGAATACATAATAATTCCAAACAGATCACCTTGCGTTGGCAGTGTGTTCTGTTGCTCATGCCCAAATTGAACGTTTTTTCTATGTATATATGATTCACTTGTTAATGTTTTCTCCTTGACAATTATTGTTTAAATGACGTCACTATGTCGTCAGTGCGAGGGAAGAGGGCAGCCCGCACCCGAGGGCGCCCCTGACGACGCTCCTGGCAGAGGCCGCGTCTCTGCAGCGTCCTGCTCCCAGCACCGCACCAACAGGCTTGCGGGTTCCCAGATTGGATTTGTTGAGGCCGAAGCTGCAGCCCAACAGCAGCAGCGCCGTGCAGATGAGCAGGCAACCGCAAAGCCACACTCATGCTCGCACTGTGCATTTGGCTGCAGTTCAGAGCAGCTATTGCAGCGACACATTCGTGCAGAATATTCGAGAGAATTGTCAGACCGATGCTCTAAATGTGAACATAGTTGTTCCAGTAAACAAAATCTCGAATACAACATTCCTTCGAAGCATTCATCTGTAAAGCCTCTAAGTTGCGCGGTATATTCTTGTGTCAATAAACACGATTTGAAATCACATATACCGCGCAAGCTTTTATCTCATAAAGCTTTTAGGTGCTCAGAATGTGAATATTTGTCTGTTAGTGAAGACGATTTACAATTGCATGTCCTATCGAAGCATTCTTCTGAGAAACCTTTCAGGTGCTGGAAGTGTGAATATACTTGCTCCAGTAAATATTATCTAAAATGCCATGTACTTTACAGACATACATCGCAGAAACCTCTTAGGTGCTCCGAATGTGATTATTCTTGCGTGTATAGAAGCAACTTAAGAGCGCATATACTACGCAAGCATTCATCTGAGAAGCCTTTGAGGTGCTCAATATGTGAATATTCTTGTGTTTTTAAAAGCGATTTAAGGTTTCATATATTGGGAACGCATTCATCTGTGAAGCCTTTCAGATGCTCGGAATGTCAATATTTATGTGTCAGAAAGAGTGATCTGCGAAGGCATGTTCTATACAAGCATTCATCTGACAAACCTTTTAGCTGCAGGGAATGTGAATATTCGTGCGTTACTAAAAGTTGTTTAAGAAATCATGTACTATATAAGCATTCGTCTGAAAAACCTTTCAGCTGCTCGCAGTGCTCTTATACTTGCGTCGAAAAACGAAATCTTGCCCGACACGTGCAATCCAGACATTCCCAGTTAACGTCCTCGCCTCTGAATGTATAAACATAATTAAACAAATAAATTTCTTCCAGTAAATGTTTGTTTTCATCTCATTCGTCAAAAACGCCATTCGCTGCTGGGAGTCGGGGACAAATTGAACATTTTCAGGCTAAGTTTTAATGTGAGTAAAGCATTTACGTAAAGCTTTAACATCAACTAAATTATTTTCAGTCTTGACATTTTGTATGCAATTTATATCGTGAATAAAATTTATATCAAAATATAGTTGCGAGGATATTATCTCTACCGGAAACACAGCCGTGGGCCACAAATGTAGCTCTTGTATGAGCCCTGGGGCCAACGCCCAGCTTAAACAAGCACAGCTACTCATTGCCAGATTTCAGTTCCTCGAACTTGTCTATTGATGAATGGTGTAACGTGTCAGTCGTTCAGTTGTAAGCTCGCAGTTTTTCAATTGTGTTGTGACAAGTGTTGTTTGTAAGCTTATAGAATCTGTTGTGAGGGATAGGATTATCGATCACTTGACTGCTCACCATCTCATATCAGATTATCAACATGGTTTTATTGTCGGCAGATCCTGCACCACTAACTTATTATCTACGTTGAACGATTGGACTCGCCTGCTGGACGAAAGGGATCCAGTGGATGCATTGTACCTCGATTTTGCCAAAGCATTTGAAAGTGTTCCGCATGAGCGGCTGTTGCGTAAAGTGAAGTCTTTGGGAATTGAGGGAAACGTACTACAATGGATCAGAGATTTTCTAGTAGGTAGACGACAACGTGTCAGTATTAACGGAACCGTACGTCTCGGACAAAAACGCGGCCTCTCTCACGGCCGGTCTCGCGGCCGTGATTCCAAATTCAGTGAGCGTGGAATATCTCGCAAAATACTGAACGTAGCTTGATGAAACTTGGTACACATAATCATTAGAGCCNAGGAAATAATCGCGTTTGGTTCTCAGTCAAGCAAAAAGCTCCTATTAATTGAATAAATGCAATTATTGTATGATTATTAAAGGATTTCGTAAATTTATGGTTTGATGTCCAATAAAAACAGTAACAAATTGAAAGCTTATTGATGAAACGCGATCTTCGCCTCAGAGCTCAAACGTCTTGTATACCTACAGTCCTACACCGTACTCTCTATACGAACAGATGTTCTCTTCAACTCGTATTGTTACTGCAATCTCTGAATTGGTTCAATTACGGGTGGTTCAATTAAAACGAGACTTGTTTACATATTGGCAAACTGACAGCAAGTCGTATTTAAGTGAATAGAGCGTAACCAGGGCCTTGGTTTACTTCTACCGTCATTGTTGAAATCACAGGCACTAACGCGTTAGTTATAACTTGGATTTGGAATGACGTTTGAAACAAAAACTGATCATAATTAAACAAACGAGATTAATTATGGGTATAAAATTGTTGTCTTATGAAATAATCAAAATTATTTGATACTCCCTTCGAATTGAAAATGCAATACATTTAAAGTTAACGTGACAGCGGAACGAATGCAACGTTACACCGGTCTCGCGGAACTCGGTTTACAAATTACATTAGGAGAAAGTCAGTTGCGTTCGTGGCGAAAGCAGGTGTGTAATTTTCGTTCCTTGAAATAACCGGCGAATTTTGAAGCTATAGATATTCAGATTTAGTTGTAATCCCTTGCTCAAACCTACAATACAAATACATTCAGACGCAACTGGCTCTCTCCCTCTGGCCTCTGAGGTTTGCCAGTCTGCTTTGATTTTTTGAATTTTTATTTTTTATTTAGCTATTTATTTATTTTTTTTTTTATTTCTATTTTTTATTTTATTTTTTTTTTACTTTTTTTTCTTCCTCTTTTCTTCTACCTTTTTATTTATTCCCTCTTTGTAAATTTGTTGCTGTTTGTTTTCGTTTATTGGGCAAGTTGAACTCTTCCGACATGAGTGATCCTAGCTGCCTTGCTGGCGCAGGGTTTGGTCGCCACCACATTTTCCAGCTGCCGCCGAGCTTCCCGATGCAGTCCACAGATGAGAAGGTAGTGCTCAATTGTATCTTCCACGTTGCAGTTGCCACACATTGGAGAGGGTGACATACCAAAGCGAAATAAATATGCACCAAGGCCTACATGGCCCTGGCGGAGTCGGGCCAGGACTACCGCAGCTCTACGGGTAGGTGCAACCACCCATGGGACGGGAGACAAGTTGCTGCGTATTGTGGTCAGGTGGACTCCTTTCCTACTCGCATTTACCTCCATCATCCACAAATCTTGCCAGCGCTTGCACAGTCCCCTTCGTAGGCAGCTCTGGAGATCTGATTGCTCAATGTGTAAGAGCACCGAGAAGTCAAGTGAGTAACCCAGCTATGCAACCTTGTCAGCCACTTCATTGCCATGTATTCCAGCATGGCCTTTTACCCACTGCAGGTCAACAGTCATCCCAGGTGTAGACTGCAGGGCCAGTAAGCGTGCGCGGATCTCAAATACAATAGAAGTGCAAGATGTGCTTGGGGACCCTACGAGTTGCAAGCCTGACTTGGAATCAGAACATATCACCCACTGTGCTGGCGCCCTCTCAGATATCATGACAAGGGCCTGCAGAAGAATTATCAATTATTATTTGCCAGTTAACTTCACGCAATCAAAGGAGATAGACACTAGGGATGTTCACTCGATGAACGCATGCTGACTCTCTCTCGCATTATCTCGTCGACGAAAACGCGAAGTCCCTGACGGACATACAGACTGACATGGCGAGCACAATAGTGTATTTTTTGGGAGCGCAGCCCTGCACCACAAATTTAACTCGTAAAAAAGCCCTGGCGCCAGCGCCTAGCCTATAATGCCATAACTAAACTCAGCTCACACCCAAGAAGCTGTAGGTAACTGAGTCATAATTGACTCTCCCCCTTCGCAGCCATAAGGCCTTCTTCACTTTNAAACTTCTATTTGGGTAATGGGTATAAATAAAAACTATTTCGATCGAGAGCCACACAAGACAAAAGATGTTAGCAATAACGCGGTCTCTGCTGTCGCCAACACACAGCTCAGGCCTACCGCGTAGGTGACCACCCTGCCAAATGCGTCAAGAATGAGAAGAAATTTAGATTCGCACCACAATATATGAGTCATTATGTTTCATGCATTTCTGTATTCAGTCTTCGAGATGCATTTATGAACTATTAAATGCACTACGGCAATACAAAATGTCATGAGACTCACTGCATCTGGACCTGTTATAATATAGCTTTATAGGTCGCAGCCTGAATAATAATTATGACCGACCTAGGAGTCTCCACGTAACGTTGTCCTGACTTGAAAAAAAATTAGCGACATCTTACAGTGCATTGCAGTATGGAATTTTCGCTTCAATGTTGCCAATTGAATATTGTAAACATTTAAAATTAGTTAATTAACATAAAAAACTGATCTATAGCGACAAATTTGAGTATGAACAAAATCTCACGAAGGCACAGAAAGATTAAATGATTCGCAGTTTCTATTTAAAGAAATGCCGAGCAATGAATGGATGAAAATAAAAATTCAGAAGCATTAATTAATTGTTGATGGTAACAAATTCATCTTCCGAGAAATGATGTTATGATCTTTCACTGAGAGGTCGATCAATTTTTATAAGGAAGTAATGAGCCAATATAGACGTTGAATTACCTTACCATTACCTTACAGGAAGATTTTTACCCAATAAAATGTAAGATATTGTATAGGAATTTGTTCGCCGCTGCTGACGTAAACCAGGGAATAATCCCTAGTTTTAGGGATTTTCAACAGTTCTTCATACATAATTCAAGGCCGCCTTGGCATGAGCTTCATCGATTCCATTATATGGAGTGTCGATGAAAATTTTTATCGTACCAACATTAACAAAATAAGTAAAGAGATTTACATGCCGCTTGGACGAAAACGATGTTAAAATTAAATTCATGGATTACTCAAATCGAAAATTTTCTATTATTTCTGGAGCAAAATGAAGTGGCAAGAACATATTGGCCACGATTTTAATGGAGCATCCTCATATCCAACCAAGCGTACGATCCTCAAACGCAAACTTCAAGCACCGCTGTGATCAAATCGTTGAATGCTAATTCGATTCTGTAATACATATGCTCAAATGAAATCAATTTGGTTTTTCAATACCATGGACCTAAATGAACTTTTTTTAATATAATGGAAGAATTGGTCGAATTAACATGTTCAAGATGAAACATGTAAATTTCAATGGAAATATTTTGGCAGAAGTAAAATATTCTGACCAGCGTAAATATTTTTACGGTGGTAAATAACGACCAGCGACCAGGATCTAACCCCTCATTAAATAGATTCTGATGAGTTATCCTGACGCAATAACAGTTACGTACAACAGCGCCCCATAGTTACGCAAGTAGTTTGAACATTCAAAGTAATGGAAGGAAAATATGTACAGATTAGGCTAAGACTGTCTAGTATAGTGACTATGAGAGAAGAGTTGATTCCGAGTCTAGATTTTATTGGTAAATCATTTACGAGCCAAGGCGTCTTTCCGAATATCAGGAGAACCTATACATTCCAGTATATTTTTATTACAAACAATTAATGAATCTTTTAAATCGTTTTTTTGAATTTCAGTTCATGAAGTTAGTCATAAGAAGTCCTGGTGAATAATGCATCATAGAATAGCTCCAAGAAGTAACAAAAAACTCATTTTTTGCTTGATGTGGAGGACAAATAACTTTGAAAAACGAAACGGCTGAAAGTCTTACGATTGAATGTAATGGAAATAACTATTTTCCCTTAAAAATAGTCCGTGTGATACAATGGAATTCAGTTCAAAATAGCAACTAACTGAAATATATATTATGAGTAAATGGGAACTTCGAATAATGAGGTGTGAGGCAATGCCGAGGTCTCATTGCCATTTTAATGTACAACCAGAGGATAATAAATAACTACAAATTTCGCGTAGATGCAATTTTAGCAGCACGAATGACATGCTTAGACGAACTGCTGGGAGAGCAGCTCATATATAACCTCCCTCCATCGCGCCAAGCGCATTACTGATCGGAAACGAGAAAAAGGCTTCTGCTGGCTGCGAGGG